ACTCTGTGCTGATAGCTGAGATTAGACCCTTTAGTAATGGATTTTTGTGTGTTGGGGGAAGGGGAGGGTCTGGCAGAGGTAAATGTASTGGAAAAGAATCTTGGAGAGACTCTGATGTATCTGAAGTGCCTGCTGCATTTCTGTGTGGATCAAGAGATAGATTTTAGTGTTGGCTTTATCAGTACCGGGGCCTGTTCTTCTTGGTTTTGAAATTGTACTAAGTATTATCTTGAGTCACCTCAGTCAGTGTAGTGCCTGGAGCTGCAGAGGWATTAGCTTAAGTATTTTTACATCTTCTGTCTTTTCATCTTGCTGTTGAGTCAAGTCCCCTAAATTCAAATATTTTCAARAAATCCCTGAAAACTTCAGTTGCATATTAGCAATTTTGTCTCAATGGTAAAGATGGATGGTAAAGATTAGTGAATTTATTTACAGAATTGGGTTTAGAGAATGATTTGAGAGCCTAAGTTTGAAAAGCAGCTCAGAAAGAGCATGTTTAGACATGACTTGCTGTTACTTCCTTTTCTCTTCAGGTACTCAAATTCCTCAAACTTAATATAAGGGAATGTAGTATTAGTTAAGAGACTTCAGAGTTCGCTAGCAGAAGCATGGTGTGGTATGAAATCAACTGCTGTCAATTGATTTTTTTAGCATATACACATACTCTTGACCTACAAGTGTTGAATAGGACATCTTTGTCTCTTTTGTCAGTGGAGTCAACATTGCCTGCCATCAGCCAATGCCATTGCATTACCAGTAATATTTCATGGCTTTGAAAAATATGTTTAAAACCATTCTTCTTCCTCAGAAAATAAAATATTATTTTRTTGTGTGTTCTGGGCAGGATTCAGAAATTTGAGAGTTAAAAGGTTAGTTTTTGTAAAAAGGAGAAGCGACTTGCCACTTGACATAACATAKTCCTCATTTCTTCTTCATCTTGAAYAATCATCTTTTGAATTGAAAAATATTTTAAGCCATTGCTTAATGCAGTGCATTTTGGGGCTTTCTCAGAACAAGTAGATTCAGTCCTGTCTGTACAGAGGTGGTACACTTCCTGTTTCTCAGGCTAGAAAGGGTATATATCARACTCCTGAGACAAACTGATTCCTCCTTTGATTTCAGGGTTCTTAATAAAATTGTTCTTCATTTGAGTCTTCTTTGAGTGCTGTTATGAACAAAATGTTCAGGGGTTAGGCTGTTGACAGATAGCAAAAGAGAACAGCACTTATGAAGGAAGGATGGCAGCTTTCATTCTGTWTTTGCAGGTTACACGTGAGTTTACTTCGTGGTGAAATCATTATTGCTTTGTATAAAATCTAGGTCTGTGCAAYAGCACATTATGTATAAATGCAAGCCCTTTTACTCTGCAGTTAGATATATTTATGCACAGAGAATATGCATACAGTAATGTATTATRCCTTCATCAATTTGCTACAGATGGAAGCAGTCCTTCTGCTTGCCTTGTGTCTRTGTGTTGCCTTCAGAGATGCTCCAGACAGGGTCTGGGGGCAAAGCTCTGTTTCTGATACCACTAAGCCTGACTTTGCGTGGTAGTTGAGATGAGGTGTGGAAGYCATCCATCTAAATACACATTGTAAGATAGTTTGTCTTTCAAGTTCGGAGGTAGTTATCTGTAAGTAATCACTCGGGATGAAATCTTGGCCTTTGGTCACTTCTTAATAAGATCATTATTAAGGCAGAGAGCCCRTTACTTTAATAAGGTTGAGACTCTTGTTCTGGGGTTAAATAAAATGAATTTACCGTCAGGAAGAAAGAAGTGGTGAGGAGCTGGTTGTTTAAAATGTCATTTTGTTAATTTGAATGTGTTGGTAGCTGGTATGCTGCACTAAAATTAGATTGTATAAATAAGCAACCCTGCTCTCCTCAAAAGAAAGGGGATTGAAAACATAATATAAAATCCTGTTTAGCAAAAGAGTGTATGTTTAAATTCTCTTTTAACAGATGCACTATAGAATGAGAGTCACACTAAAATCAAAAACGATGGGCAGAAGGTTTCAGTGATGATACCAAAACTCCTTTAAATGTTAGAAATTTTATTGTTAAAATAAGTCTGTCATCTTCAGTCACAGTTARGATATGGTCTGAAAGGGCAAGTAGTCTTCAAGAAAGCCCCCCAAAAATGCAGTAAGTATTTTTATCAGCCTATCTTTTTTCCTTTCTGCCTCTAAAAGYGTACACTTAAGGAGTTACAGATAAAGCTTAGCATGGTGACTGTGTCATGGGACTGCCCGAGGAAGGCTTTAAATTTTACAGCTACATTATCTTTCTGGCTGTAGTTAAGATAAAGATCTAATATAAAATCACTTTGGTCTGTAATGTTCTCCCTAAATGAAGTGAAGGTGTTAACTTACTTGATTTGATACACTTTACCCCAGCTTATAAAGCTGGGAGGAAGGTGAGGTAAACTTTAATTAAAACTACAGCTCAGATGCCTTCTAGCACTGTGCCCTGTACCTTGCTAGGACTGTACAGTAAGCAAAATAAAACGTACCTCGCAGTTGAGGCAGCAGGCTGGAGCCGTGTTCAGTGAAAGTAATTTAATTAGTGTTGATCATGACTCCAGATGATGGTGATTTGATAAGGAATAATTTAGTACTTAACAGCCTTTTACATGCACCAACTCCATGTGGGAAGGTAAAGCAAATTGCACAAAATGAATGTGCTGCTTTCACTTGTGCCTGTGCCAGTGAGCTGGAAAACTGCCTGTTAGCAGACGTTCAGGCTCTCAGCGCTGTGATGAAATACCCAGCCAGTTCTCCGCACAGGGCTGTAGTGTGGGAGTCTCTGTACTCCCGTTATTTAAAAATAAATAAGGGAAGTAATTTTTCATAACAGATTAACTCCAAGGAAGTAGCAAAGTAAAAATAAAAAAAAAAAAAAAAATGGAGCAGCATGTGGCCTTTGTGCAAATATGTGATACTGGCTTTAAAAAAGAGTCTTGCTGCAGTTGTGTTTTAATTTTCTGATTCAATTTAAAGAGATTGCCTACCTTTGCATCAGAGCCACCATCACAGAGTTGTGGGGCCCATCATATGCATTAAATGTGTGGCATGCATTATTTGACCAAGACATGCAAAGGAGAGTCAGCACTAAAAGTTCACTAGCAACATCCTGAAACAAACTACTGGATATCAGCCTGCTTTGTGATTACTTTGGAAAGCTGACTGGACTGCATTTTGCCATATTATTAAATTTGAGAATCTCTTTTTAAGAAGTCCATGTGGTTGTCTTTTTAGTGCAAGTTCAGAGAGTTTTATTCAGGAAGAATTCTTTTCTGAATTCTGAATTCAACACATCAGAATGTGATGTTCACATTTTCCGTCCCTGTTTMCTAAGTTGCTGTGCTGTGTGTATGCATTTGTGTATGTTTTATTGTCTGCTTCTCCTTTCTAATCTTTCTACATTACTGACTGTTATCCACCAAGTAGAATAGCTGAATAGCAGTCTTCTGCTAACTCTGGTGCATTTTGTGAAAATACGTGGCAAAATAGCATAGTGTTATGTTGCAGATGACTCAACTGAAAGGCAGTAGTAGAAGCTGTCATGTAATAGGGTATGAGAGGATCTGTTTGTGAAAGAGTTTTGTGAACATTGCCCAGCCACGAGAAAACCCATGGCAAAAGTCTGGAATCCAGACCTTAATCACAGATGCCAGAGTTAAGTGGTTCTGATGCTCACTTCTTAGACAGCATTTCATTTAACTTCCCAACGAACACTGGTGTGTGTATGCAGATGCATTAGTATCATAAAATGATGTCTCTAACAAATTGTCTTGCCCAAGTTCAGGTGCAAGAGAATGGGCAAGATACTGCGTGATGGTCTRTAATGATAGCCTGACTTTGGGCTGAGATTCCCTAACAGAACTGCTGTGTGCACCTGGATTTTCACAGAGATACCAGTGTCTATGTCAGGCTGAAATGTGATGTTCATACTGTGGTGTTTTGGTGACAACATCAAAAATCAGTGATAAAATTATCTCTGGATTCTAGGCATCTCAGCTCAAAAATGTATTTACAACCTCATTTTATTTAAAACTTGACAGGTGTGTTTTCGGGCTGTTATATACTTGTKTTTTAGTCCTTTGTCCTCCTAGCCAGTTAGTTAGGTTTGTCAACATCAGGTGAACTTTGAATTTTATCCTGCTTTAATTTTGGTTAAGGTTGGATATGAAATATGGAAAGTTGTCTGGCTTAAACTAATTTGGTTAACCTTGTCTTTATCTTTGGCCTTTTTCTTAATACAGATCAATTTGTGCTTCTAATTAATGCTGTATTCCTTTCATACCCCCTCCAGTATTTTTTAGCTTTTAAAAAGTATCCTTTTTTTTCAGTTTATGTCCATATCACATTTACTATTGAGTTTGGTCAGGCCAGGATTTTATCTTGTTTATTTTTAAGAAAGATAACATAAACCATTTATTCTGAAATTTTTTTTGTATGTTACTTATAAGTAAAGGTGCATGTAATCATCCTGTTTCAAGAGTTTCACTGAAAATTCTCAAGCATTTTGTAGGAAGAAAAGATTGCTGAGCATATACTTGAGGCTGATATATCTGAAATTTATTTTGGAGTCATTTGTGTGGCCCTCTTTGAAGCAGACTACTACTGCATTTATAGCTAAAAGCTACTTCACTGATATTACTTAGAAACATTTGGTGCCTGGGAAGTATTTTGCCTCTGACAGCATTTGCTGCAGTTAAGCCAAATATAAGTGGGCTGTTATTTTCCTGCTAATGAGATGGGATGCTGGCCATCATTCTATTAAACAATAGAAGTGATAATAGCCAATGTGAAGGATCTCTGGTGTCTATTTTTCAGTTGACACCCAAAGAAATATTTGAAATGTTTATTTCCTATATTGTTTTTATTATTACAATGGTTTAATTAATCATGTGTTTAATTAGCAGTGTCTAGCTTACTTGGAAAATTAATTGTTRATATTGTACTTGGGTTTTAATTGCATTTTCCTTCTCTTTCCAGTGGCTTTTCATGGTCTCCCTGTGAAAATCAAGAAGGAACCCCATAGCCCATGTTCAGAACTTGGCTCCGCTTGCAGTCAAGAGCAACCATTCAAGTTCAGTTATGGGGAAAAGTGCCTGTACAATGTCAGGTAAAGCAATCAGGAGCAAGTTTGCAGTGAGAACTGCTGATTTAAATGAGGACTGACTAAAGAGTAATAAAACCATAATAGAGATCTTATAAAAGTYACCTCTTCAGCAGATAACAGACTGATGAGATCATGCATTTAGCTGATGAACACTGATGGATTTGTTTACAGTTGTATCAAACACTTACATAATCATTTTAAAGCAGTGTTTTTCATAAAATGCACATCCTCCATTCCTGCTCGATGGGAGATAGCCAGAGTTAAAAACCCAGGGTACAAGCGTAAAATAGAAGAAAGGAGTATCTTGTTTTCTGTGAGCTRTGTTGAAAGTACTTTCAAAATACATTATGCACATTAGGAAGGAGAGATCTGTGCAACAGGCAAGAAACTGGCAGGTCTGAGCAACACATTAGGTATTTGACAAATTTTGCAGATGTTGTACGTTTATATTCATGGGTGATTACCTTTTAAAACTGTTTCATTAGTCTCTGCATCTTTGGTATTTACTCAAAAGCAAGTAGTCTTCTCTTACAGGCCTAGATAATGAAAGCCTTATTTGTGGGTGGTGGAGGGGCTTGATACTTCTTCATTCCGTATTGACTTTCTTTTGGTTGCAYTTACATGCCACTCCTTCCTTTAGTGTCAGCAGTGAAGGATTTCTTATTGACRTTTCAGTCTATTTTAGAAACTTTCATCTAGCTTGTGAGTTTTGATTCTCATTAATGTATTGTGAAAAGAATTAGCACTTAATTCATTATAACATTTAACTTTTTGCATATGAATAGGGAAAAAAAGAAAGAAAAAGACTGGCACCTTTGCCAGTCATAAGGAGTGGTTTTGGTTTCAAAAATCAAATGAATCCATTGATGGATTTGATGGGTGCTAGGGGACCTGACCCATCAAGTGGAAAGTGTGCAAGCTCATGCTTACTATAGTCCTAATGTCTGCATTTCTCCTGGTTAGAAACAGGGATGATCAAAGTGTTCTCAAGTCCTTTCCTGTTTTGAGACACCCTTGAAAATAGCATCTATGTATTTGTAGGGCCAGCAGTTTATTTTTGAGAGAGAGGAATAAAAAAAACCTGTCGGGAGAGGCTGCTGACATCCTAGTATGGGTAGCTAAGCCAGCATACCATTGTTTTTCTGGGTCAGATCCCTTCCCTCTAGCTGTATTGTTTTACTGTCTCACTTTGTGGTTTGTGCAAAAGAAAAAGAGTCTTGACAGGCACTGTCAGCTCTTTGTGCTCTAGTCCAGGTGCTTCTACTTTTATGTATTTTGTATACCTCATCTTAAAATGTGCCTGTAAGACTGAATCCTTTCAAAACACATTTTTGAGCCTCAGAGAAGAAAATGCTGTGCTGAATCACTTGCCTCTAACATGACTTCTTCTGTGCTCTTCTCAGTGTAAAGTGGAGAATTCTGCCCCAGACTGGTTAATAAATTAACTATAATCAAAAGCTTCTAAATGTGACACTTGTGATTTATTTTCTGCATGTAGATGCTATGGTTTTGGTTTTTGTTCTTTCCTCAGAAAAAAATAACTAGCTTTTTCCTTGCCTTTCTAATAGTGCCTATGATCAGAAACCGCAAGTGGGAATGAGGCCCTCCAACCCACCGACGCCATCCAGCACTCCCGTGTCACCGCTGCACCATGCCTCCCCAAACTCCACTCAGACTCCTAAACCTGATCGGGTTTTCCCTACCCACCTCCCTCCATCCCAGTCCATTCAAGACAACAGCTTCCCTATGGATCACAGGTAAAACACAAAACACCTGAGGGACCCATGCTGGTGTTTCAATTGTGGCTACAACTCTCTCATAAGGGGTAGTACTGGCTTCCTGCCCACAGCTAATCCATTGTAGGTTGGGGGATCAAGGTGAAAACCAGGAGGGTTCCTAGWGTCAGAAATGTGTGTGTTTGTGAAAGGCTCGCACCCAGCTTGGTACACCACTGTAGGTTTATATTGGCAGTGACATAATTTTAATTACCTGCTGGTTCTGTTTTATGAAGGTGCTTACAGTCTTCTGGATAATCTCATCTAGGCTCCCTTTCCCACAGAAGGTTGGACCCGATGGTCTTTCAAGGTCCCTTCCAACCTGGGCTGTTCTACAGCTCTGTGATTCACTTTAGGCTAGAAAGCCCTACGAGGTGATGAAGTCACTAGCAAGCGTGTTCCTAACTATGAATATCTGGTCTCTTCCTAAGCAGTTCACCTATCTAAGAGATAAGTGGCCATGTAACAGTGTTCCTGCTTCAGAATATTCTTGGGAAGGGCTGATCATTTTTCCAAGCCATTTTGTAATGCAGCATTTCAAACCACGATGCCAACATAAACGGTGCTTAAATAACATTAGTCTGAGTAAAAGCCACAAGAGCTAGAAACTAGAATTAAAGCTTAAACTGTCCTCAAGTCACCCTGTTTTGTTTCGATATGTTAAAAATCATCAGACAATCATGTTTCTTAGCTCAGTTTTTCAACAGATATGCTCAGTGGATTTCCCTGTTTTTTTCAGTCCAAACACTTGTTTGTGGAATTCTATTTACCCTAACCTTTATTGCATGAATCTTTTTTTGTTGCCGTGTTGTGACTGCTCTTGAAGACTTGAAATTCCAATAGTGCGTAAAGAGATSTATGTTCAGAAACTTGTCTTACCTCTTAACCATTATCAAATTAAGAAAGACTGGAAAAGAAAAACAGTACCTGGGACTTTGATTTGCATGCTTCTGCTCAAAAAAGGGCTGTTATCTCCAGCGATTTGTGCAGATCACTTTTGCAGGAGGTGGCTAAGGTTAATATTGCTGTTCTGTGCTTTGCTGAGGTAGCTTTAAATACCACCAAGGTTCTCTACAAGCTCTTCTGGCGGTAAAGAAACACTGAATTGACCCCTTCACCTGCCATGGTCCGCGTCTCCACCCCAGTCATGGACTGTGGTCTAACCACAGAGGCCCCCAGTGAAGCAAGGCGGTGGTTTAGATCACAGGATGGTGGATAAATGTATTTCTGTATATACATACACCAAAGCCAAGCTATCAGGAGACTGAAATGGGCAGGAGCTAAATGGCTTATGCGCAGATAACAGTAGTAAGATTTTTCAGATGAAAAAAGAGATCTTTTATTATAAAGTAACTTGTAAAGAAAGCACTGAACCTGTATKTGAGCCCTAACTCGAGTATTTAGACATTTGTGTACATTCACCTTAGTATAATTTCTGTACCCATAACTCTTGCTCTGTGCAAGCTTTATGCAAGGCTCTTTACATGATTTCTGCTCCCTCCCACCCCATCTTTGATATTCATGTTCTTTAGGGCATTTTGCACTAATSCTTCGCTTCTATTATAGAACATCATATGTTCAAGTAAAGTCCAAAATAGCTGACTCAAGCAACAAAGTAATCTCATTTTTCTCCTTCTGAAAGAAAGGTGGAATTGTAGTGGAAGATAATTTTTTTCCCCATTTTCCTACTTATTTTGAATCTTGTGTGTGAAGCAAACGTGTACTTCGTATTTTTGTAAAATTAAAATTTTCCTGATTTACAAGGTGAGATGCTACTACAGTGAGTGTATTCAGATAATGTCATCTAAACAAATGATGTGCCTATTTGAGTTCATATGTGCGTCTATAACTCAAGGCACAATCTTTTGGAATASGTATTGATGGCATAGGATGGCATTAGTATCTAGTACGTACAGCCCATACATCTCTATACAGAGCATGAGTAAATGAACGATAAGTGGTCCTAACAAGTACCGACAGGAAACAAATCCACTTTATAAACAAATGGCTTGATTCCATACAAAGCTTCCAGTACAACAAGTATTATTAACTTCCTTTGAGGCTTTGTGAGTGAGCCTGTTTCTTATTTTATCTTCAAGTTGCAATTTTCTGATTCACTCCTTGACAGTTCTTAATGATAATTTCTGCTTCTTTTTTTGGCTAATGAAAAAAGGAAAAGAGGGAAATGAATGCAGTGCCAGTCAGCCTAACTGTTTCATAATACATTTGAGTTTCTAAGTTTATTTTTTGCAGGTGTAGGTGGAATTGCAAAACCCAGTGTTACAGTGCAGTACTCTTTTGAATGCAAAAATTATAGTATTTACAGCAGCATTAGAAAAATTCATTTTGTCTCCACTACTACATTGTAATAGTTTCTATCTCTGTAATTTCTGCAGTATTTATAATTAAACTATGATAGTAAATATTTGTCAGAACAAGTTACAGCAGTATTATGACAGACGGTAGTAGAGTTTAAATTGTTTCAGATATATGCGTTACCTATGAGTTGATAGTCAAGGTTTGTACTGGTTGTGCAATCAAACTTGTACATCGTGCTTCGCTCAGACAGTGTTCTCCAAGAGGAAGTCTTTTGCTTGTGTGAACCAAAGTTGGTTTAGATCCAAAGTACCGGAAACTCAAGAATGATTAGGTATTCATTTTTTTAGTGTGACATTAGGAAGCTTCCAAAGAAAGGCACAAGTTATTCTTTTTTTTTTTKAAGTATATCTTGTTTATAGTAAGTGATAACAGGACTAGTAAGCAGTTTGTCGGAAGAACATTGCATCTGCTGTTGATTAGTGTGGACACAATATTAGTGCTGTGGGGATTACTACTGTGGTATCTGCAGGAGATAACAGGAAGACATCATGCAGCTCATCAGGGCCCAGTGGGAAAATGGCATCCCTGTATTCTTCTGAAGCATCCTTGTATGCTTCCGAACCTGCAGATGTCCAAGTAATTACATTCAGGCCTTTTAGTTCAGGTAGGTAGGTTTTATGGAAGAAAAAACACGCATAGGTTCTTGAGAGTAGCACTGCATGTAAATCAAGTTAATTTAAAACTGAATTMTCTTATTTTATGCCCACTGAAGGGCATTTGGGAATAGCAAATGGCAGTGTGGCTTGTACGGATTACAACTGTCATGTAGCAATGACTAAGGGGAAAAGTTAAGGCAGGAGAATAATTAATTCTCTTGGCAAAAATTTGTACCCTCTCCTTTTGCTGGGGTGCTGACATTCCCTTCCTGTTACAGTTGGAATGCAGTGCTATCCTTGCGAGTCGATCTCTCATGGCACTCCCCTCGGGAGGACAGAACAGTGGACCCTTACCCTGGAATGTTTCCAAATGTTAGAGCAGACAATACTCCATTCAAAATGTGTTTATTGTGGTCAGAATGGTTTCCATGTAACAGTGAGATGGGTAAAAGTGAATTAGAGTATGAGCAAAATGTTGCTAACCCTTGTGAGAGAGCAGAGAACTCTGCCTTATACCCCCATCCTGTCACTGTGGTAGAATGTCAGTCTTTCTACTGTTTTGAAGCTGGTACATTTCCTCTTTCCCTTTTCTGCTGAGAGAAGATACTGAAAGCAAAGAGAGATGTGGTGGGGACATGTCTTAGAGCTGGTATTAAATAGGTGGGATTTTTCTGTGCTTGCCTCTATATACAATGCAGGTGATCCTGATGTGAGCACTTGGTATGATCATAAGCAAAATGTTTGTTCCTGAGAAAGTGATACAGCCACTGATACAGACTTGTGAAGTTCTTTGGGGAAGGGAATGTAGCTCAGGTCTTTTACATGACCTCTCTAATTTGTGTTCCAGATTTCGCCGCCAGCTCTCTGAACCTTGCAATTCTTTCCCACCTTTGCCGGCAATGCCAAGGGAAGGACGTCCAATATATCAGCGCCAGATGTCTGAACCAAACATCCCTTTCCCGCCTCAAGGTTTTAAGCAGGAATACCACGATCCAGTTTATGAACACAACGCTATGGTTGGCAGTGCGGCCAGTCAAAATTTCCCYCCTCCTCTGATGATTAAACAGGAACCTAGAGATTTTGCATATGATTCAGGTAGGTGAGATTCTCCTTTAGCTCTACATAGCAAAGGAATATATGAGTCCAAGCCAGTGCTATTGACATTTTCATCATATGAATTGAAACGTGCTCTTTTGATGCTTAAGTCTCACAAATTATGTCTGACAYAGCTTACAAATTTCTAAAATCRTTACATAATACAGTGTGACTTGTGCCACCATTTGCTCTTTAAAGGGCTTCATTTTCTAGAAATCTTTGTTCTGAAAGTGCATAGGTTAGAGAAGTTGAGGAAGAAAATCATGGGTGCAAATTTGCTTTGTTAAGCGGGAACTTGTTCTGTGCTATCTCATTTTTGACCTCTGAATTTGTATGCTTCATTCTACAAGTTCTTCCATTTGTCTGCCAGAAATAGAGGACTCTTTCTCCTCTTGCTTGCATAACTTTAAATCAGGAGTAACTCCACTCAAGTGGGGTTTATACAGCTATAAAACCGATGAGGGAGAAGAATCGGCCAAATTGGTGTCAGCTTCTCAGTTTGTGCATACTGCTGTGTTTTGTGGAGGTACATAATCTGAGATGCCAGGTTGCTGATGTAGAGAATACACTGCTGCTATTAATAATGTTTATTATGATTGTGCTTATGGGACAACTGGAATGGAACCTTATTTCTCTACAGACAGGACATAACAGAGGAGCTGGTRGCAGAGTCTGCTCTCAATAGGTTCTGATCAAAATAGAAAAGATAAGCAATAGAAAGGACAGAGAAATAAATCAAGGGAATAACAGTGTAAATGTCTGACACAATTTCAATGCAATATTTATATTATACTTGGGAAAAGAGAGATAGAATTAAGAAGTCAGAAAATAAGTTTAGTAATGAGTACCAAGTAACAAGGTGAAGGAAGTTATAAAGAAGAAAGCTGGAAAGGTAGTATGGGAAGAAGCTGAGATTAAAATGTGGAGTGCACTAGGTGGGGTTAAAAGTTGATTGGTATYGAGCCAAGAAAATACAATCAAAATGTTTTTCAGTTTCAGTGTAAGTGGTTTCTGCAGCTCCTCTTATTTTTCTGCCTCTGTTCTGTTTTGTGTATGCCATCATGTTGAAAGGGAGGGAATTCAGCATTTCCAGCTATGCTTCTGGTGGAAGGTACATTGCTTTCGTACACATCCATGCTGACTTGGGCAGGGGGAATGGATGGCTCTATTTGACTTAATTCCGACTCCCTCTTCTTCTTGATGCTGCTGTACTCCTAGGGATTTCCTTCTGGCTCAGTCTCTGGCTAGATGCTTTTGCAGTTTATTTTCCAAAGGCTACATGGCAGCTGAGTTGAAATGTTCTTTGAAATTTTASCTCATGACAAACTATCTTGCAATTTGATATAGTGTAAAACTGGGTTTTTATTTTCTTTTCTGTGGCTATTTGGTGGTCGCTATTTGGTGGTCTCTATTTGGTGGGGTATTTTGTGGTATCAATGAAAAGTGCTTGTTATAGATTTGATGTCAATGTTAAATGGGGGAATTTGGAAAGTAGAGCTACTTTCTCCTTTCTTATTATTGACAAGCAAAGAACCAATCCTTAGGAAAATTTGAGCTAGCCCTATAGAGGGAGGGGACCACGGATGAAATATTTCTCCAAGCAGAAATATAAGACAAGGTGAAAAGGATTTTGGATTAGAAGAATCAGATCTAGAACTCAACCCATTCACTGGTGAAGGTTCTGAGATCTGTGGCCTTAGGGAGTTGTGTATTTCTAATCCTACAGAGCAGTGTGGGAGAGACTGTGTAGTTCATGTGGCAGTGGATAATAAACGGGGAGCTGCAGCTTCAGGCACTGCCAGCCCCTTGCAACCTTCACAAGCAGCGTTACTCATCCTGCTAAATTAAAGGTCAAAAAAAGGCCCTTTTGTAAACATGCTTCTTATTTGCCTTGGAAGTGGGATCTCTTTATTGCATACTGTTACTTTAAGTCTGGATTGGCTACTAGCATTCATCTTTCTTTGGAATATTCTTTATGGAAAAAAGCAGGAAATTTTATTCTGAAATGAAGATGTACAAACTTGCATCCAGTCCTGTCATGCCTGTTTATTTTGTGCCAGCAAGAACTACATTCCACTTTATAACCATGATCTTCAAGCAAAATTGTTGTTTCTTTGGTAGATGAATGATTAGTTTTTAAAAATGTAATAGCTGTGTAACCAGTGGTCATGAAAAATTAATCTGTTGGTATCAGGAAGTACTTTTATTGGCCTTAGAATCRCTGCATTTAAGTTGACACATCTGTACACTCCATAAATTGCAGTCAACAACTGTGGTCTGTTGATATTTTGTCTTGTTACCATCTGTTCTCTAGGAACCATAATTTTCCATCCTTGCTWAGAGTACATTAAATAACCCCTTAGGAAACATAATGTATTTGTCACTGAATCATTGATTTCATTTTTCACCTATGGATGTTCAGAGAAGGAGGAATGCTAGAGTAAAAAAGTCTTTTTTGCATTATATTTTATTGCAGCACAGATAAGAATMTAGAAACGTATTTTAAAAGTTCATTGTAATGCACTGAGATGTTCCTTTTGGGATGTTTTTGAAAGGGACTCATAAAAGTTCATTGCTTTTGTGCACTATTCTTTTATACATTGTGGGAAGCTGATGAATGAAAAGCATTATTATAGAATGATTACAACTCTATTAAAACATGACATTAATTATGACATGGGAAATGGCAGATCAATTAGTTGTAATTGTAATTGCAGGTATGCAATTTCTACTGCAGAATAGAGATAATGGAGATGTTTGAGATAATGGAAAAAGAAAAATGTCAACAGAGTAGAAGCTCTTCTTTATCCATCCACACTTCTAGAAGTCACAGTGCATCATATATGTTCAATCAGACATTTTCTGCCATAGTTGTTTTTTGTTTTTGGTTTTGGTTCTTTTATTTCCATGGCTGATAGTCAGATGTGTTTAGTACTTGATGGCAAATCTAGCAACTTTAGGCACAGAAGTGCAGCAAGGGACATATAGAGTTCTGAGATTTTGCATAATGARTGTATATACTTGAAAAGGCTTCCTAAGACCACTGTTTACAAGGCCTAGTGGTGGGCATTCTTGTACAGTTAGCACTTCTAGAATTCAGTAATCTATTCAGGTGCTTAAACAACAAGGCTAAACTGGATATAGCTCATGTCTTCTGGGCTTTATTTTGGAGCCGGATCTTCACAGGCTTAATCCTTCCTACATGATGTAGTGTATTGCTAAGATGTGACTCTAGCTGTGTATCAATTAATACTAAAAATCAAGTATTAAAATGGCATCTTAAGTTATTGAGTTTAAACCTCATATTTTGTTTTGCCCATTTGAGATAGCTATTTTGGTTGAGAAATTTTTGTGATCATGTCTTTGAAACAGAAATTTGTCATGCAATGATAATGGAGTTAAATAGAGGAGGAATCGTTGCTTGCATATACTTCTTACTGATTGCCAGGAATTTTTCTGTTGAAATTTAGATAGATTCAGTATTTTCTGAACATGTTAGGGGCATTGGCAGTGCTATTCTCACAGTTTCATTTCAGGGTAGCTTCACAATTAATRTGCTTGAACGAACCTTAGAAAATTTGGATTCTCTCCCTGTCACTTCCAAGACAGTAGTCACATCACTTAAAGAATGAACTCTCCAGACAGAATTATTAGCCTCCATGTCTTGCTTTCTGAATTGCTCATCCCTTTAATTCCTGAAGCCTCACAAGCAAATACCTTGTGTTGGCATGTGAGAATGGATGGGGATCTGCCCCTGTGTTAAGAGAAACAAGTGGAGGCCGAGAGACAAATCTGATATATAAACCTGTTTGTTTTTTGGATACCCAGTTTAAAAGAGCAATATGTACTACATATGTCTGAATTGTAGCTCCTAGGGACTTTTTCTTGTATTTCTAGAAGTATGGGAACATCAGATTAGGGTCTCAGTGTAGGCAGGATAAAAATACATAATACCAAAAATCTGGCAGGAGCAATGTGGCTACTTTGGAAAACCTTGTTGGAGCTGGAATGTGCTTTGCTGGGGCCTAAAATTGACCATTCAGCTGTGTTATTTTTCCTTTTCTTGAAAACTTCTGCTTCATTACTTAGACAACTTCCAGTCCCTGTAACAAATGAAGCAGGGCTCCACCTGCTAAGCTGCTTGCAGTGTGGCTCTCCCTCCTACAAATAGTTTTGACCTGTGCACTCAAGACCTGAGTGCCAAAGCAAAAGGTTGTATCATAATTTATTTGCAGCAAAGGATTAGGATAAAGTTTGTGCAGGAAGTTGTTAATTACAACGTTTATTAACCTCCAAAGTTTGCTCTTACAGGTATGGAATGTTGTTAGCATTCTGCCATCAGTGTTATTTAATGAATCTACCTAATGATGGGAAACAGAATGAAATACAAGAGTCCTCTCAAATACCTGATGAGGTGKTTTTTTGAATAGCAAGTCAGTGACAATTAATGGAAAAAAGCCCCTACTTAGCACATTCTTCACTAGGCATCACCTCACATATTTTTAAATTTGGGAGTTTGCAGAGTAGCATTAAGAGAAAGTGTTTGAAATTGCAAGGGGGAAAAATTTATTTCTTCAGAGTTAATTTATTTGCATGTTTATTTTTCCCCTCATTTATTTTTAAACAATCGGTTATTCTATTGTATTTCCGAAAGCAAAGTTTAGATATTTGGAGATGATAGTGAGGAGAAAAAGTGACAGAGACAGTGCTGGTTTGCTTTTTCCAGGATATTCTCTAGTGCATTGACCAGTCCAGCATTTAAAACTACGCAACTCACGGTGTTTCTATGACTGTTTTTGATTACATTGGCTAATTTTTGTACACTGCTCTGAAAACATAAAGTGCTGTGTGAGTGCTAAGTATTATTACTACTATTTTTCACCTGGGAGATTATTTCATAGACAAATAGACCTCACAGTTAAGAAATATTTCTTGATCAGAAGCATCAATTTTCTCTTTGATCAATTCTGTTTCTTTGCTCACAGCTACACCTCTAGTAA